GCAGGAATCTGATTGCAAAATGGCTCATTTTATAAACATCACTACTTTTATGACTGACAAAAATATGCACAATCAGGTGCCAACTCCTTCACAAATACATATTTTACAACTTGTGTCGTAAATTGCTTGCAAGTACAAAATTCTAAGATGTTAAAGGTCTATGCTCAATCCATAAAAAATGGCACAGTTCATACAAAGATTTCATGGATTTTGCTCTTCTGCCAGTTTCACATCCATGTAACTTCACTAGTTTCAGAGGAGTTCCCAATATATACATAAATTTACATCTAAATCAAGCCATTTCCTGTGTACAATATTGGACCTGGGATTACACATGCGTTTAAAAAACAAGTGAAATACAGGACAGAGAAAAGATAATTGGACCTTGCCTATTTTAAGACCACTATATAGTCTGTATATCACAGTGCACACAAAGCACACATTTCTTCAGAATTTGCTTTTTAAGTTTGCTGCCCATTGCGAAAGTCTCTTTAAAACTGCATGGGCCATGAAGTACTGATTAAGTCTGAAAAAAAATTACATTTCTAATTGGAAACGTTTGAGAGTTACAAAACCATACATGATATCCCACTATTTAAAGCAGTAATGAACCCTAAATTGAACCACTTCCTCATGGTAGCGATTACTGTGTTGGTAGCCATTACAGCTTTTCTAATTATAGTACAGGTTAAAACAAAGTATTGAATGCTTCAGCTCACTCATGTATGACATAGATACATTTATAATAAGCTTAAGTATGGGGAAAAACCAGTCATTTGGTACTGACCAACTGCCCATACAAATAAGAGAACTTCTAGTAGTTCTGTATTGCCTGCTCAGTCACTTCACAGAATCGATTCACTTCAGAGAATCGATTCAAAAATCCAGTCTCAACTTCTGCTAATCTTAGAATCACTGGGGGGTTTTGTTTGGTGGTTCGGGCTTTTTTTTTTCACGTTTCCATTAAGACCATTTAAAAATAGTCATCTCGACATAGCAGGGATAGAAACATAATTACAAGTCAGACCTCACAGTCCTCAAATTTAAGACAGTTTTAAAAACCTCTTAAGGAGATGTGCCTTCTGATTTTATTAAAAATGAAGGTAACATCAAATAAAAAGCAAAACTAAAGAAGAATAGGTAGAACATTTTACTTTTGTCAAACCTTAAATGTAAGGTATATTAAAAAACATGGTTTGGAATTTCAAGAACAGGAATATAAACATGTGTTTTCTATCCCAGAAAAAAATTCATGCAGGTGTTACAGTATTTGATCATTCTCTACATCCACTGGTACGCAATATCAACTTACTGTTATTAAATAGATACAGAGATACCATAAATTCACACAGATACCAGGGTCTTCTGGCCTCAGTTATACTCATACTGTGGATCAAGCAAATCTGTTCTTTGGTAACTGGAGTAAGCTCATTTTCCATTCCAATGCAGGACTATTAGGAGGCCATATTGGCCACTCATCTCAGAAAATTACAACTCCTGTAGACATAGTCTGGGCTACTTTTGTCACAAGAAAATAACATTAGAGGTGGTATTAGAGGTATAAATGCAAAGTAGTTAAAATTACTCATTCCTTGTGGTGGCTGTTTCAGGAAAAAAAATCCAAACTCTCTCCATCTCTATTCATTGTTTAATCTAGGTAACATTTAGACTCATATGTAAAGGTATTTTGATAGATGGGAATGTACACATGCACACTTTCAATTTAAATAAAGAGACCTGTGTGGAGAATGGCAATTTAAAGTTAATATGACTTGAAGGTGTTCCTATAATAAAGTTTAAAGATTTAGTAAACTGGGACATTACAAATCCAAAAAAGTGTTTCTAGATTTTTCATCTTCCCTTTTTCAACAAAGACTGACAGAATATACATATACAGGTTGACATTTTGATTTATCCAAAACAATTTTCACTTTGCTCAGTTTGCAAGTCTATTGAGTAAAATGTAATATCATTCACAACAAAATATTTTCAGTAAGTGAAACAATAAGCAAAGAAAACCAAAAGTAAGCTCAGAAGCTAAGTGGTTTAGAAAGCCTGGTAACATCTATGTGTGTGTTAGTGTGTCTATAATTTTTTTTTTTTATACATTATATATATAGACACACACACACATATATACACACACACGTGCGCACACGCGCGCACACACACACATTTGTAACCTGCAGTGAAGATCAATCTATTTTCTAATAAGGAACAAAACACATTATTTAAAAATGTGGCTAATTTAACAAAACAGAGAAGAAACTGCTGCTATCAAAATATACAATTTGGATTGCAGACTAGAAGGCTAACAACATTAAAAAAATAGTTTTGAGCAAAACCCCTTTGCTTCTGAATAACAACAGGTATCAACCTGCCATAGCATGAAGCATCCAAACAAGATTCTTATAAAAAGTTTAAACTGTGACCCTTCTTCATTTGTAAAGTTCTTGACATGACATATATAGTGCGAGCTCTGGTCTCCGAACTGGAGCCCCTTTCAGTTTTCTCAATCCATACTTCAGGAAATAAATGGCAGCTGAAAGATTCAGAATCTCAAGTGAGATTTGTGCTTTACCATATACCTGAAAAAAAACAACCAAACAAACAGAAAACAATGTTACTACTCTTTTAGTATTTATAGAAATTTTACTCTAGGGAATAATATGCACAGACTTTGTTAAAACAAAATTCTTAGAGAATTAGCAAGTTGCCAAAGAAGAGATGCAATGTCTTTGTACGCCATCGCTCTGTATTATGTGGAACATTTGTCCCACGAAAAGGCAGTCAGCTAAAAACTTTGCTTCAAAGAAAATTCACGTTTTCCAAGGCATCACATGACTTCTAACACTGGAAGATTGTTGTTAAAGATAACTCCAGTTCATTCTGGGAATTCAGATATACAGTTTAGCTGAGACTTTTAAATAAGAAGCCATAGAAAGTTTGATGCTTGTAATTATTTTGACAATTCCCATAGGATTTTTCTTTTTGAAGTTCACTCAATCATTCAAGCAGTTTGCTGTGCAATCAACATGAAAAGATTAAACATTCTCGAAATGCATGGGCTTCCCCCTTCCCTCAATATTTCTTCAACTGCTTCATGATAAGAAAGTTTCTCCTCTACAACATGAAAAAGGCATTGCAATGAACTTCCCATTCGAGTGGGTTCTGAACCACAGAGAAGCAGTCAGAAGCAATGCTGCTCTTCACAGAGCTGCTGGTGCTCCTCCATCCCTCACTTCTCAGAAAAGGCAGGGCTAAGTACTTGGAAGGCCCCTAAGATACAGAAGAATCCCTAGTCCAAAACTCATTACGCACCATATCTTTTCTAATTTCCTTCCTCTTCTACCCACCGGTATGGACTCAAGGGCATCACGATAAGATAGTGCTTTGTGGCTCTTAAGGTAGTTTCTCACCTTTTCTAGACTGTCATCTAGTGAGGTGGAGAGAGAAAGGACGGGAGCTCATAAGCTCAGAACTGCAGTCCAAGGGGAGGGACTGAGGGAACAAAGGAAAACTCTACACCATGTAGCCTGTTCCCCATTCCTTTCCTTCTGCCTAAAGGGAGGTGGGGAATCATGGTACTAATCGATGGTTAATGGTAACTACTCTTCCTTTAAAGCCATGCATATTACACTTTGGAGATTATATTTTATTATAAACCAGAAATAATAGTGGTATATTAGAAATAATAGTGGTATATATTTAACAGTATCATCAGGGAAAGTCTAAACAAGCAGTATTTTCAAGCTAAAACATTGTTCAGATGTCTAAGTTGTATGCAATTCCCTTGTTGCCATAACTTTTCATTCCCACCAAACATAAAAAAAAGCATGAGCATAAGGGACTTTCAACAGGAAACATACCTGTCCAAAGTTTCCCAGAAGCGTAGAAATACTGGCCTGTCCAAGTGTCTTTTGTGGTAGCTTAATTCTAACACTGTTACATCCCATTTCTGTACATTTGGATCCAGACGTACTTCATCATATTTGAGATGAAAAGCTTTAACTACAGGAAACGGGAAAACATTTAGTGTACAAACATGATGACTTTACAGAGTGTAATTATTATCAAAGAGAATTCCCACCCCACCCCTTGTTTTTCAGAGTAGGGCCTGAGAACAAAATTAATGAGCCCATCCCTCAAGAAAGGGCACTGAGCTAAATATAGTGCTTGGTGGCCACTATCAGGCTGTCATGCTATTACAGGTTTAAGTGAAAGGGCAGCCCCTATTTTTAGATGCATAGATTCCAGGAAAATAGCAGAAACCCATTGCCAATTCAAGCACGTTTTGTCTGGGAAACAAAGATGTTCTTTCTGAAAATCTTTGAACTGTCCAAGAATTAAACAAAGCATTTCTGAGACTTCTGATTTCCTCCCGAGAAGAAAGTCTGGCTATCTCCTGAAAGTCTGTAGAAGACAGATAGCAGAATGTCAGTGTAACCCCCAAACACTACATGAAACATCCTGAGAAATTTTGTAACTGCCAATTTCCCCTGATCTAGTACTCAGTTAAAAACGGTAAAATATTAACAGTTATTTTGCTTTTGGGAAGTATTGCCACATGTGAATTATGTAAAGCCTAAACATTAACACAGCAAGTATTAAAAACTTCTTCTGATTCTTCTTGATTTCCTTAGCCAAATGATAGTTTTGACACAATCCAGTGGAAAGTATTTAAGTCTGGTTACCAGATAGGAATTGTGCAAATCTGATGGATTTTCTATTTTGGATATTATTGGATAAGTGAAGCAGAAGCATTTGACTAGGCTTGAGGAAACTAGTTATTTTTAATGCCATGGTCATATCTTTTCTCATACCACACTCTTCATTTTTTCTTCCAAAAATCCACCTACAATTTTAGCCAAATGAGTAAAATAAAAAAAATAAAAATAAAATCAGTCCCCTTTTCCAGATATAGGTCAATCTATAAAATGATGTATCTAGGAGCTTTCTGGAAGACTGGTATCTGAAATTAGCTTTTTTTCAATTAACAAACTAAAGAAGCGATCATCTGGCTTGTACCACTGCCTGATAAATTTCCAAGCTTTGTGAATGAAAACTAAGAATACATATACATTATCTTTTCCATACAACGTTGCATGTTTTAAAATAACTCCTGAGAAAGCAAATAAAGATATACTGGGGCTATGCATTTACAGAAAACTTAATCAACACCTGACAGAGCCTCTGCATTAAGGTTAAACCATGTTGAGCAGAAGACAACCCACTTCTGAATCTGAAACAAATCAGTATGAAGGCGCACTAATGTGCTCTAGCAGAAAGACCTTTAAAATGGTATTCAAAATTAAATATTTGTTCAAAGTGACATCATTCAAAATTTCAACCGAAACATTTGCTTGCAGATGCAAAAATAAGCTTGTTTGCTATGTGAACATTAAACACTCAGACCACGTGTAAAGTAAACTTAGGAGCACAATTTTAGAGACTCAACTAACAAAATGCTACGTGACACAGCAATTGAACGAATAAAACCAGTTTGACAGGCTCTGGCCCAATACAAGTTTTATTGAGGAATTCTTTATGGTAAGCTACCTGCTTGTTTTCCAAAATGATAATGATAAGCTTTGAATATTTGTTAATCACTACAGACCCAGTGACTTACATGAAGAAACACAAACTGCAGATGAAACTGACTGTTGCAGATCCCAGAAACCACATTTATGAAGACCACTGAAGACTATAAATATGGGCAAAGCAATAGCTTCAGGAAAAGGTAAACACATACGACCAGACTGACATTGCGTGCGCTCTCTCCATTTACACTGTTTTTATTTTGAGGAGTGAGTAAAGTCATTAGGAAAAGCCCTAGAGATACTCTTATCAGGAAAATATTTTAAAGCATCTTACTCTGAAACAATGGAATGGATTTCTAAAAACAAAAAAGGTCCATTTCAATGTACCTTTATGAGTCATGTAAGAACAGATATCCTCCTTTCACTTAAAAATCTAAGAATTTGTACACCTTCAGATTGAAATACACAAGCTATGATTTGGATTTTTTGGCATAGTGAAGACTTAAAAAATGTCAAAGCACATCATAAAAATTCCTATGGTCCTCTATACATTTTTATATATATATATAAAAAAAATGTTAAAATTGATAGGAACTAGCACACAACTACTAGCTAGACCTTAAACAGTTAATAGCATTTTTCTTGGTTTTGCTTTTCACAATTTCTATTTTCTCTAGATCTTCATTTTGAAGTGTTATTTTCATCTTTCATTAGTCTGTTTTGCTAAACTCTCTCTTGTGGTGTATTTTTTCTTTTACACTGACTTTCAGGCTCTTTCACTGTCTCCCTGTTTGTTCTCAATCCCCCCCTTAAAAGCAACTCATTCTATTTTCTTGTTCTCAGATACATCATTAGCCTTCCATCTGACCATTTTCTTTTTTTTTTTTTTCCTCCTAACCAGACTAGCATTCTCTTTCTGGCTTCTACTTCACATACCAAACATGTGCACATATAAAACCTGAACAAACTTGTTTCCTCATCACACTGACTGGAAGATGACAGACTGAACTAAGGTGGGTATTTTGGTTTGGTGGATTTTTTCTTTTTTTTTTTCTTCTGTGTGTATGCGTTGGTTTGGGTTTTTTTAAATCTGTAGCTCAGAAACCACTGGACACTATAAAAAGGTCTATTTTCTAAGACAGCTTCACAATGAAGCAACAGAGAACAGACTCTGACAGTTTCTTTAGATATTATCACACACCTTACAGTCAGAAGAGTGAACTGCGCGAGAAAAGTGCAGTGTGTCTCAAAGCATACTGGGCATAATTGCGATAACTCAAAAAACCTGTTCAGTTCTATACAGTGGTGACATCTAGCTCACAACTTAAAAGTATCTGTATCTTATTAAACTTCCAAGTTTATGTCAGACACCAAATCATATTTGTAAAGCTTTCTTAGTGAAATATTAGGTGATTAATCCTCTGTTCAAAGTAGTAATGAAATCTGAGGACAGCTTGTAAACCTGTTATCTATGAAGTGTTGTAATATACATTGTCTTTTCACCTTTTTTAGAACCTTGGAAAGTAAATTTATACACTATTTCTGAACCTATTGTAAAGACAACAGTTCTGAGATTTCCATGAGCTTCCACAGGTCAGAACAGAAGAATTGCAGAGGGCACATTAATACTTACCATCTATGCAAAGACCTAAGCGCCCGTCTTCTCAACCATCCTAGTCCAACAGCACTTTGGTGTTTTGGCACTACTTTGCCATAAGCATAAATACCCCACAAAAAACCCAAACAGAATAACAGCCCCCCCAAACACTTAAAACCAAACCAAACAAACAAAAAAACCCTTACTTTTTGCAAAGATATCAACAGGTGATCCGTCAGGCAAGAGCCAAGGCCAGCCTTTGAACTGCCAAGCAGGACCCTGTACAAACACTGCCACCACACGATCCCTACCAACACAGAAAGAGATGGACATGTTGATGGCCTTAAACATCTAAATTACATGTTTTCTTAAACAGGCAATACACCTTAGCGCAGTTTCTTATGTAACAGCAGCATAGCACATTCAACAACTTCATCTCCAGCACATCTGTTTTTTCTCTGTTAAGGAAAAAAAAAATTCATGTGATATTTCTGGACTTTTAGCTCCATCCCTTTGCAGAATGCAGTGCACTTTCTCATGTTACATTTATAAGAAGTCAAACAGTGTTTATTTCTGTCATTATTACTTTGCTTTTAAAAAGTGCTCCAACATTTTAGAGATAATCTTCTATGAATAACACTGTAAACTGACACGTATCAATTTAAAAGCTTTTATTCTGAATACTGTTAACTATTCCAAAAATTTATGAGAAGGGACAGCTGCTAAATTTCTGCCTCTGGTTGCAAAGTGCATCATTTATTGTAAGGGTACGTAACCATTACCTGTGGTCTAAGATAATAAATTTGTTATTAAGATTAAGCTTTTATATTAATAAAACTAAAAAAAACCCCAACCCTTTGAGAATAAATGTCCTCCCACCTACGGTCTTTTTCTTGAACATTTACATCATCCAGTCATGGTTTGTACCTACTACAACAAATAATTACGTCCCTAATCTAATCCCCAAATTTAATTAATCATAAAGTCTAGCAAATCCCAAGTGGAAAAGAATAACCAAGGTGGAGTTTTGGGTTTTTTTTGTTTCTTAAAAGACAGACTAAATCTTTGCCATTTAAAATGATGTTGCAGGTTTCATAATGGTTAACAGGAAAAAAAAAAAAAACAGCAGCAACATGTTAATTTCTAGATACTAATGTCTGATTCTCCCTTGGATAAAAATGAGCTAAAAACCCACAGCACTTCATCTCTTTGGTCAGGAGCACTTTAGGAACCATTTTAGATGGTTCTTAAAGGTTTGATCACTAAACATTTTAAGTGCTATTTGATATTTTGAATTTCAAAACCATGGATTTCTGATTAGTTCAAGTTCTCAATAAAGAGAATAATTAATTTAGGAACAGGACCTTTTCAAAGTATTCCTCTCCATTAAAATATCCTTTGGAAGTTACAAAACCACCAAAAACATCGTTGTGCGTATCTAAAATCCTCACATTTGTGAGAAAAGTAAAAATGTTGCCTAATTCATTACATCAAATAACAAAAAGAGGTTTCTCCAGAATTTTCCTGCTCAAAGAGAAATATGTTTTCATAGCATCAAAGAATGGTCTACAGACAAAATAATATGCAGCTTTTTCTTAAAAGCTATCTATGATTTCCTTTCCCCAACTGGGGCTCTCCCTTCAGAAGTAAGCTTCCACCATTGAATCCAATTCAACGAATCTGATTCACTACTGAAACCACAGTTCAGTCTTTACTGTCTGATGTGTTTTCTTTCTTTCTTAAACTATTAAAAAAAGTTAGAATGTCAGATGCTGAAGGGCTACAAACTTATCTTTCTAACAGACCTCATTCAGAAAGCAGATAAGAAAGGGGGATTTTCTCTTAGATCATGTTTCAGTGACTTGCACACTACAGTATCATGAACTGGAAAACTCATATGAATATTCCTATTCAAATTTCTGGAACGTATCAGGCAAACCTAATAAAAATAGTTGCGCTGCTCATACTGTTAAGATGTAGAGTCTTGGGTTTCTTAAGAAATTTCTTTTAAGAAGTTTAGTGTCACATTATTTTCACCTGAAGAAAAGACTCCTATACAGTTAAGAATCAAATCCATTCTTTTAACCATATCTTAATTTTTTATGCAGTTTAGTAGAATGTTATTGGTCCCCTCCAAATTCTGTATTCTCCCAATTAAAAAATATTGTAAAGGGGAAATCTATTTTACCAGTCTTGTGGCATAAGTTTCAGAGGTTGGTCTACTACTCGATAAGGTACAGTAACGCTGACTGTAGTTCCCCCCGGCTGCATCTGGTCCTTCCTTCTCTGTATAAGAGTTTCATTTTCTCGTTGGCAGCCTTGTTTCTTCTTTTCATCTGATGGTACAAACCTTGGGGAATAAAGAAACATTCAGTAGACAAAAGCAATTTATT